ATTTTCATATTCGCTTCTAAGGCATATTTCTAACATTGACAAGTAGTAAGGCCGCATCAAGGGGACACCCTGAACAGATTTGAAAGTAAATTAAATAATTATTCACTACAAATTGAAGTATAAAATGTTAAAACTATGCACATGATAAACATGTATGTTCAACTCATAAAATATTAGCATGGTCAAGCAATGTTCGAAAACAAGCCCAATAATTATTGCATGATGACTATAATGTTCAAAATATGCCCTAAATTCAAACATGTGATATTTCTTTTTGGATATTTCATCATCACTTATGGGCAAGATTGTTGTTTTCAACCATGATATTTGGTCTATAATCATAATAGTAAAACAACAGTCATTGGAATATGATATATTGTGAGAGCTATGCAATGAGATTGGATATAAGGACACCTCCCATACTTCCACATTATTTCCTAAATGTTCCCAGTCATAGGGTTATTAATTGGGAATTGATCATCCGCAAAGAGTGGTACACACTATATCCGCTCGATTGGGAGAATGACTAGTCTCAAGTCATTGCGTATAGAGAAACTAAGATATGTGCGTAGGTGCCTAGAGAGATAAGTAAATTGAACACGATCAAACCACGAATTTTAGGATGAGGGTCTTACTCCAATGTCAAACTAAAACTCATAAGTTGCAATAATGCAAACTAGTTCTCATACCTGAGACATCATAGTTGTCTTGTGGGCAAGTTGTCTATCTTCGAAATCCCTATACATTCGTGTCAACATATATGATTCAAAAAGTGGTCTTCAGGATTCTCGATAAGTTCATAGAGGCAAGTGAATATACAACAAATGATTTGTACTCGTAATAAGGAATGCTCTAAAGATATGATAGAGGGAATCTTTGCAGAGTAGATATGACTAGAAAGGAAATTTCTAGATATAACCAATGTAATCATATAAGTGGAAAATTCATATTAAAGTTTCGACAGAAGTATCTATTCCATGATAATATGAATTATGGGCACTGTAATAGAGAATGACTCAATTGCACGACAATTCAAATTGAATAGGTTATTCTCATCTTTCTATTGACCAAAAAGGACATCTAGTGTGAGAAAGTTTTTGTTTACCGCGTCTACCTTTATATTGTAATTTTTTTTTATGCGTACAATAATCTTGTCTTGTATTTGTGGCTTTGCATGCTAAAATGGAGAGGCCTAAGAAATTAAATTAGAAGTTGCATGCGACGGGAATAACACTATTTTGTTACCTTCATTCAATTAGGGGTCATCATTTGGCCCACGACCCCATAGACTGATGGGGACCTGCCTAGCCCATTGAGGAGAAGCCCGGCCCATCTTTTAGTGGGCTAGACTTAAGCAAAGGTGTCTAAAACCAGCCCGACTCATAAGCCCGACCCATTTGAGCCTACGGAAGCCCAACCCCGGCCTGCCCATCAAAGCCCAGCCCACAGGTTCACAGGCCCACCAGTAAAATAAAAGATATATAATTGGGGTTTGGGTGGTTTGGTCGCTGGTTGTTTTGGTTAATAATATTGGCCCATTTGTCGAAGCCCAGGTGTTTCAACACTATATTGGTTCTCACTCATTTGCATCAATTTTGGCTTTGCATGTTTCAGATATCAAGTGAGTTGTTTCTTTTGACGTTTCAAAGTGAATTGTCTCTGCTTTTACTGCAGTTTATGTCTTATTATTCTTAATTCTAATATCATACAAGTTTTTTACAAAAAATTAGAATTGAAATGAACTGGAAGATTGTACCCTTTAACATGTTATCAAGAAACTTTCTCGTGCTTGGAACATTACAGAATCTTTTTCCAAATCTTATCAACAGAGCAGGATTGAAAAAGTGACAGCCAATTGACTGGTGTCTTCAACTTTTTGGTAAAAGCCAAGCCTAGAGACTGGTGCATTTCTTTGGGTTTAGCATTTGAATTGCTACCTACCTTTGGGTTTCAGCAAGTGCATAGTTTTTCAGACTAAAAACAAAAAAAATAACTGACAGATAACGAAGTAAAAATAGTCTTGTGTCTATCCATCCATTGGAATATGAACATGAGAGAGGTCGTTTGTAGAGAGCACGTGACTCCCTAATCACTATTCAGTTTCTAAAAGTAAAAAAAGAAAAAGAAATAGCAAAACAAAAAAATAAAGTCACACAACCTCTGCCATATAAACAGAAAGCCACATATTTTACACCCATCAGTTTTCATCATCGACTTAGAACTCTCTACTTCTTTGGTGATTTTTTGGATATTAAATTAGAAAGGAAAAAGAAGCTTCACCTCAGCCTCATACATACGTCAAGCAGCCAAAGTCTAAACAGAGAAAGAAAAGTCAGGTAAGTTTTTCTTTAATTTTTAGTTTGACAGCAACATTTATGACCAAAAGGAAGATAAAAATATTGATTTCATATTTGTTTTATCAATTTCAGTGGGTCAGAAAAGATTCCTGGGAGGATCATCATATTTGGAGTGATCATGTTTACCATTTCAAAGGGATTTGCTGTTATATCTGCAAATAAGAACCTCAAACTACCGTTCATAGAAGATATATTTATAAGAAACAGAGTTCAGGGGGAGAGGGGAGATGAGAGATAGAGGAGGAGAGTAATTGAATCAACCAGAGTGATTTGGTTTCTGTATTGCAGCCGTATATAATGTACAGAGAGTAGACTTTCTCAAGTCTATTTACAGAAAGAAGCAATACATGGTAAGTACAATAATCTCATATATGTTATGAATCAATTCTAGCTAATATGTCGTTGATCTTGGGGGGAAGAATCTGTCAAGTCTGATTTAGGGAAATCAGTTGATTCCCTGGGATGAACCGGAGTGATATTCTCTTTACCCTCCCTCAAGCGTAGCGGAGCAACGCGGAGATTAAGCTTGGATTTGAGAAGTGAAAACCGATTACGACCGAGACCTTTAGTAAATATGTCAGCAAGCTGATGAGAGGAAGGAACATAGGAGGTACGAAGAGCCTTTCGAGCAACTAATTCACGAACAAAGTGGTAGTCGATCTCGATATGCCGGGTGCGAGCATGAAAAATAGGGTTGGCAGCCATATAGAGAGCAGAGAGATTGTCAACATAGATGCAGGGGGCAGAGCGAAGGGGAATGCCCAGTTCACGAAACAAGTAACCAAACCAGCGAAGTTCGGCTGCAGTATGTGCAAGAGCTCTATATTCAGCTTCAGTACTAGAGCGAGAAACAGTAGACTGTTTCTTGGCAGTCCATGTGAGAAGATTGGGGCCAAGGAAAACACAAGCACCAGTAGTAGACCGGCGATCATCAACAGAACCAGCCCAATCAGCGTCAGAGAAACTCCGTAAGGAAAAATCATTGGACTTATGGAAGATAAGACCTTGCTCAAGTGTACCTTTAATGTACCGAAAAATG